CGCTATTGCAACTTCTGTTTTACTAAGAAAATTTAATAATAACTGCTATCTCAGCTTTATAATCATTTTTTTAGTAAAAAAATGTTTCCAAAACTGTAGAGGCATTTTTTACTATATTTTCTTAGTAAAATAACGTCTCTAAAGCTGTAGAAGTAATTTTTACTATATTTTCTTAATAAAATAACATCTCTAAAATCACGAAGGCATTTTTATTATATTTTTCTAGTAAAATAATATTTCTGAAGTTGCAAAGACATTTTTGAAGTTACAGAAACACTTTTGCTATGGTTTTCTTTGTAAAAAGGCATTTTTGAAGTTGTAGATGCATTTTTTACTATGGTTTTCTTAGTAAAAAGGCATTTTCAAAACTGCAAATATGCTTTTTGCTATAGTTTTCTTAATAAAAAGGTATTTCTGAAGCCATAAAAGCACTTTTTACTATAGTTTTCTTAGTAAGAGCTACTCTTAAAGCTTTGAAAATGGCTTTACTATTAATTTAAATTAAATCAAATATTTTGATCAAATCAAATCAAATATTAATTTGAATTTGATCAAATAAATCATTCTTTGATTTGAATTTGATCGAATTAAATTAATTAAATATAAATTTGTATTTGTATTTGATTTGATTTTCAATTGAATATTCAAATATCAAATCTAATTGCAGAATTTTAATTATCAATAAACCATTTATGATTTTATATTTTTTATATTTTATAATTCTTAATAATATTAAAAATCTTGTGGATCTTAGAAACTAAACCTAAGTAAATCTTCATGATTACTTAAAAATCCTTAGATATTATATAGTCCTGAAAATAAGCATTCCTGATTATATAATTATCTGAAAATAAGCACTTTTTAAGAAAAATATAAAAAATAAAATTACAATTGATATTATATAGTTGTATTATAAATTTTATTGAAAATAAAACTAAAATGAATTATAAAATATACAATTAAATTTGAAAATTACTATGATTAATAATTATCACAAATACTATTATTATTATGAATTACTAATTATCAAAAATTTTATTATTATAAATTTTATTATCATCAGAATCTTTATTTTCTTTCTCATTATCTAATGAATCTGCTCTATATAATATTTACAAAAAAATTAATAATAATTTCATCAGATGTACTTTTCCATAAACATTTTATCCAATTACAAATATTATCATATTTAGCGTGTTTATAAATATATATATAATACAAATAATACAGATAATACAGATATATAAATATATAAATAATATGAATATTAATACAATTATTCCTATAGAAATATAAAAATCATCATAAAGGTGTGATACAATTTGTTTTCAAAGGAATGATAGAAATCATCATAAAGGAATAATATAATTTATTTCTAAATAAATTATAGAAATCATTTTAAAGAAGCAATACAATCATTATTAAAAGAATGATATATTATTTCAAAATAATAATTGTTTTTTTATTGTTTTATTAGAATGATATATAATTATTTTAAATGAATAATTTTTTTTAGAAATAATTTAATTATCATTTCAAAAAAAACATTATTATTCTTAAGAACAATATTTTTTTTATCGTTTTTTTCAGAATAATATATTATTATTCCTTAAAAACAATTTTGTTATTATTCCTTTAGAATGATTTAATTATCATTTTAAAAAGAATGATTTTTATTATTCTTTTAGAATAATTAAAATATTATTTCTTAAGAATGATTTTGATTTAATTATTATTCTAAAAGAATAATTTTATTATCATTTTTTTGGAATGATCAAAATTGTTTCTTTAAATGATTTTTTTTATTGTTCTTGTAAAATGATTCAATTATTGTTTCTTAAAAATGATTTTGTTATTATTTTTTTAGAATATTTTAACTATTATTTCTTAAAAATAATTTTGTTATTATTCTTTATATTTAATTATCTATAATATAAGGATTATTCACAAATTATCTATAGATAATCTATACAAAATTATTTATCTATAGATACCATCTGAAATAAAAAAATAAATATTTATAATTTATTATCTATACAAATATATGAATTATAAATATATAAATTCAAACTTTAATTTATCCTAATATTATTTTAAAAATATTAATATTTATTTAATGTTTTTATTAGTAAAAGAATTTGGTATCTTTAAACTTTAAAGTATTTTTTTTAATTATAATTAAGGATACTAGCATAAACTTCTTTCAAATTTTATTTAGTTTAGTAAAATTTTAATAAAGAATTAATATAGTTTTATCATAGTTTCTTTTGTTTTAGTATTTACTATGATAATTTTAGCATTTTAGTATTTCATCATAACTTTAACATAAGTTTTTATAAGATTCTAATATAGTCTTAGTAAATTTTAACATTTTAGCAAGTTAAAAACCCTCTAGTTTCTCTAGTAATCTTAATTATGACATACAATTTTTATGTATCATACTTATATGATTTTTGTGAAATATTTTCTAAAATTAAGTAAGAAGTTTATTCAATATTTTTATTTTAAAGTTGATTATTTAAAAAAAAAAACCTAAAAAGAAATTTTAATTAAAATATTTTCTATCATATCATTTAAGTAAAAAAAAATAGATTTCTAAAAATTCAAGTAAAAATTTATTATAAATTAAACTTATAATATTAATGAAATATATTATAATATATTTAAAACAAAAAACAAAAATAAAAGCAAATAAAAATAGATATATATTAAACAAAAATTTATTTTAATAAATATACCTTTCAAGAGATTTTATTAAAACCTTTCAAACTTTTAATTAAATAATAAATTTTGTTACATATTTTTATTTAACAAATGATAAACTTTTAACTTGTTAATACAAAGAAAAAATTTATTCTAAAACATTATCAATTTAATAAATACTTTTTATTAAAAATAAAAACATTTTGCATTAAATTTTAATTTTGCAAAAAAAATTTATTAGTTTTAAATGCAAAATCACCTATTTTTTTAATAAGGTCTACTAAAAGTAACAGAAGAATTTGAGTTTTAAAGTTAATAAATTAATAGTTATAAACTAAATGTAAAAATATAATAAAAATTACATATAATTTACTTATAAATGAAGTAAAAAAGACATGAAATTTTATAAAAATTACTTGATAAAATGATCAGTATTATTATAACACTATTTGTTATTCAACATTAAAGAAATATATTGTGATTGATAAGTTTAAAAAACCAGATATTCACTAGTAAATTATTATATAAACTAAAAAGAGTTAATTAACACTTAAACATTCTATCTAATTATAACAATTTCTAAAATCATATATTAACAATAATTTTTTTTTTTTAAATAATAATAAAAATAATACATTTTAATTAAAATTATTTTAATATTTTTTATAATTGATAATTACAGTATATATAATAATTTTTTATTATATTTTAAATTTTTGTTTTAATTTTTTTGATATTTTTTTTATTTTATTAATTAGTTTTTTAAAATAATTTTTTTTTAAATTTTTATATTTTAATTATTTAATTATTTTTATTTTTGTAATTTATTTTATAATATATTAAATATTATGAATTTTTTAAATTTTAATAATATAATTTTTTTATATTATTTATGAAAATTAATTTAATTTTTAATTGATTTTTTGATAAAACTTTAAGTTTTAATAAAATTTTAAAATTATAAGAGTTTTAAAAATTTAGTAAGATTTAACAATATTAATAATATAATAAAGGTATTTTTTTAATAAGATTTTATAATTTTAGTAAAATTTTAGAATTATAATAAAGATTTCAAGATTTTAATAAATTTCAAAATCTTACTAAATTTTAAGTATTAGAATCAAATTTCTTAAAACTGAATTAATTTAACTTTAATACTTATTAAAATCTTTTTTTTAAGTTTTAATAATAATTTTAATTATCAGTTTTTTTTTTATAATTGCATATAAAATTATTTGTTAACCCATATTAAAAATTTTAAAAATTTTTAGGAAAAAACTTTTAAATTAATTATTTATTACTAATTTTAAGTCAATTAATTATATTATTTAAAATATTTATTTAATGAAATAAATAACAATACAGATTATAAATTATAAATTATACATTATTAGATCTAAATTAAATCAAATAATCAACTGTTATTATATTCATACAATTAAATGGAGTTTTTTTTTAAAAAAAATTTATATTGATTATAATAGAAAAATAATAAAAAAAAATCAATTAAATTAAAAATAAATTATATAACATGATATATATATTATATAAAGGTACGATATAAAGAAAAAAAGTTTCTTAATCTAAAAAGAAAACTAAAATTAATTGGACACTTTTGATAATGCTGTTTAAGTTAATATAATTTGGTTAATCCCGTTTCACTTTTTACTAAATGTGGATTGTTAAATTCTAATCAAATAAAATCGACTCACTCAAATATTTAATTTAATAATGTGACTTTACTAAAAAATGATTCATTCGCAGAGTATTGGCTTATTCTGATATTAGTTAGTCAATCGATCAATTAATTATGTATATCAAAAAAACATAAATTGACGTTTTTGTACCTTTCGATTTTTAATATTTTTAATTTGCATATTGACTAAGCCAAGCCTATTCATATTAAGATTTCAGGTTTACAGTTGGAGTTTATAATCTCGGAAATTTCAAATTATATAATACTGTATTACAATTCTTTTTGAACCAACCACAATCCAAAAAAAAAAATTATTTGAACGATCTTAACCTAGTATGTCTGAAACATGTTTTTAACTTTAATTACAAACCGAAATAATTCCAAACCGATGTAAGTAATTAAGGGAATAAATTACATTCCGAATTTTTCATATGGGAAATTTAAATGCCGGTCGTTTCATAGATTAAGATTGCATGATCAACATTTGACCAATATGTGCTATATGCCATTTATTTATGTAAATAACAAATAATTATATATTACTATATATCGCGAAATGCTTTTTTTGAAGTCCAAACATCACGTGTATCCTTGATATTTTTTACAAATATTTATTGAAAAACTCGAAAATTCTATTCCATGCCAATTCTTGATTTTTAATATTAAAATCAAGAAATCCTTGTTCTTTACGCATCTTCAATGAACGTTCTTCATTATTTAAAAATGCATGATCTTCTCCATCATATCTATAGATTGCAATTTCTTTTCCTGATGCATCCAATCTTTCTATTCCTTCTTCAAGATTCCTTTCAAGCGAATAAGCTAAAATAAGAATAAAAATCTTTAATCAAATGTTATACAAAAGTAAATGACGAGACGATTAAACTTTGAGTAATTGCATACCAGCATTTGGATCGCTGAATCCAGTGTGTTTATCTTCGCTTCCGAAATGTCCCTAAACATATTAAAATCAATGACTTTAAATTAGTGGGATAGTTTTGGTTTTAAAGAACCATATTCAAACACGGTACTGTACCTGCACGGGAGTTTTTATAGCGATCACAGATACATCACAAATTGTTGGTGATGGAATACCATAGCAAGTAACAACAGCGCTCAAAGGTTTTTTTGCCGCCACATGTGATGCAAGAGCAAGACTTACGGCCCCTAAAGTACAAAAAAAAATTTCGGAGTTTTAAAAAAAAATTTCCTACTTTCACAGTGGGAATGACCAACTCTTGGTTTATGAAATTCACCTCCCATGCAAAATCCAATGGATCCAATTTTTCTAAAATAAAAAAAAAATAAAAGGTGATTATTGAATCAATCATGTTGGCAAGCATTTTTCACGGGGATTAAAGACTCACTCTCGATTTTCTTTTTTCAATGAATCAACAAGAGCCTCTAATTCTACTAATGATTCCTTCCAATCCAAATTCTTTTTAACGTTATCAAGAAAAACAACATATTAACAAAGGTTCGGAATTAAGTACGTCGCATATAACAAGAATTTTCCTAATGAAGAAATCACTTACGGACATCAAATGACTTGCTTCCTGATAATGTGATCCTCATCAAATTAGTGATGTAAAAAAAAACGCGTTTATACAAGATAAATCATTAAAATTGAATAAAATTTACTAACCTCTTGAGATAAGCCAAGTTTACCTTTATAAAGATCAGGAACAACTGCTAAAGTATTTGCATTATCGGCAATATGTTGAGCGTGAACCTTTATTTGTTCATTGATTCCCCACCTATTTTTTTTTTTTTGTGAGACAATATGAGTTATTAAGCTACACAATAAATCATTAAAGGAAATATTTGTATCACGAAAATTTTTTAATTGGTGATTCAAAAAAAAGATCAAAAATTATTTTCATCGAGATTTCTAAGTTCACTTCCCCCCCCCCCCCCAAAAAAATAAAATAAAACAAATAAAAAAATACGAATGCAATTACCATTCTTGCAAAACAATGATAGCGGAACCCTTTTTCTCTTGTCCACTTTTAGGTAAAAATCTTAGGGTCTTAAAAGGCAAACCTTCACTAACTTCGGCAGCGGGTTTAGTACTACTCATTCTTCTTGTAATTAAAAAACTACAACCAACTTTAAAATAATTATTCCCAAAAGAATTCTTGTTAATACCCAATACAAAAGGTTTAACGTGTAAATTACGAATTTGACAGAGATTTATTTGTTGTTTTGGAACTGGTGGTTGAAAATTTAACCTTTTTATAATATTAAAACTAATTAGTCTCATATTAAACTTGATTAAGAATAAATGAACTTCCTATTTTATTTAAAATAAAAACTCTTAAATATATTTAAATTTACACTAAAAAAGAAAGTTGGAAAAAATATTAATAATTTTTTTTTTCTGAATTTATATCAAGAAATGGTGAATTTTTGAAGTTAATCTTTTTTAAGATGAAACTAAACACCGAAAACGAGTTTAGATCGGGAAAAAAAAATAATTAAATCTAACTCTTTAAAAAGTGTTTTCTCATGACAAAAGTATGGATCGTACGATACTTCAATCGATTCAATTCACCAAATCAAAGTTTTCACACCATAATCTCAAACGATTCGCATAAAAAGTCCTATTAAATAAGAGTATTTATATTACAATTTACTTTATCCATAATAAAAAAAAAAAGCATATCAATACCTCAAATGTATATATATATTTTTTTTTGCTTGATAATGTTATTTATTTATTTATTTTTTGAATTTTATATTTTATAATAATGATCTTTTTCTAATTTTTTTCACTAAAATATATATATTAAAAAAAAAAAAAAAAAAAAAAAAAATGAAACTGAAAATAATCTAATAAAAAATAATACTTTTTTAAAAATGATAAATTTTTTTTTCTTTTTTTTCGCTACCTTATTTAGATAGGATAACTTTTTTTGTTGTGTTTCGCAAATTAATATCGCATTACTATGTATAAAAATATATATGTATATAAAACAAAGTATTTACGAAAAAAGAAAAAATGACTAAAAAATGACTTAACAAAAGCAAAAACCCATTGATTACGCAATCATACCTCCTTTCTTTTCTTACACTTACAAACAAAAACAAAAGAAAAAGAATCAATTATAATCAAAGGAAAAGATGGGAAAAGGGGAAAGAAAAATTTGTACAAATGCGTTATTTTGGGAGGGAAAGAAAGAAATATATATTACACAAATCCAAATCATTAGCTATATAGCAAAATTGAAAAGTATATAGAAATAAATTGAATCAAAAAGTAGTTTTGTAGGAAAAAGGAATAAAATCCATCGTGTATTATTACAACACGGATAGACCCCAATATGATTTATAAAATGTTGCAAAGAAAAAAAGGTAAACACAAATGTTCATAAAGTGAATTAATCCGCTATATTAAGTGAATAGAAATAAAGGTAAAGTCTGAAAAAGAGAATAATTTTTGAAAGTTTGATTTGCATCATTTTTGTTCACTAATTGCCTCTGTATTTTCCCTTGACATCACAAAAAAAAAAGAAAAAGAAAAAGGGAGTTTTAAAAGCCATAAAATAATAATAATAATAATAATAAAAGAAAATAATGTGCCTCATGAACAAGCAATAAGCATACGATACACAACTATGCTTTTTAATTGCAATCAACTCTTAAGAGTCGAACGTATTTTAAGGCTTTCTGAACTCGGTCAATACAGGATAGATGGATTCAAAAGCATCATAAATTTCTTGTCGTACCTATAAAGAATTTTGAATTGAAAAGAAAGGGATGAGCATCAGATTAGTTACAAAGTTAGGATAATCAATATTATCATTGGATGCGTCGTACACCCCCGTTCATCAAACGTAGGGAAAGTAAAGTTCCACTTACTTTGGCACCAGTTAATACTATCTTCCCGGACACGAAGATTAACAACACAATCTTTGGCTTGACCATACGATAGATAAGACCTGGAAACAATTCCGGTTCATACTAAGCGAAAGGATAAGAAAATAAGAGGTGAGAAATCACGAGCATTGTTCATAAAGCAGCAACTTTTTTCCCTCTATACTTACACTACTGAAATGACCGTGAGAATAAGCCAAACCTTCCAACCGAATAGGGAATTTCACATCACAAGATCCGACAATGTTTTGAATCTTGAAATCGGTGAATTTAGCAGCAAAGCCGAGTTTCTGAATGATTCGAGCGTATTTTCTGCTGGCAAGTTTAGAGTCGTCTTCGGATTTGGCACCAGTGACAACCATCTTGCCAGAAGCAAAAATAAGGGCCGTCGTCTTGGGTTCACGGATACGCATGATAACAGCAGCGAAACGCTAATAACATATTATATGTGTGATTGATGGTGGTGGTATCATTGTATAACTTTGTTTAGCATAAATTCTTTGATATAGTTTTTCTATATACCACAGTTGTCTATGCTACCAACGCATAGCAATGCGGTAGTACCTTTGGATTATATTCTGCGTTTCTCGCATGTAGTGCAATTGTTTTAAGGTCAAGTTTACAATCAAGGTTGACAGTGGCGACGATGTTTCTAAAAGCGGAAGATCACGTGAAAACGTTTCACGAGAGGGAGCACAAGATAAAAGAGATAGAGAAAATCAATATAAATATAGACAAAATTGGAATTTGGCTTAATTATTTCGCCTAAACAACTCTCTCTCACTCTCAAAACCACTGACAACCTCACCAATAGATTTTTTTTTTAAACAAACCGTAAAGAAAAGCATACATAAAAACAAAGCTTCCCCCAAATTTTTTTTTTTTTTTTTTTTTTTAAATAAAAACAAAAAACCATGACCATCGAACGACTACTTACTGCAATGTAGGAACAATTCCAGCAACGCTTTGCGGTTGTGACTGGTTTGTTTGATCAGCAACGCTACTGCTCTGTTCATCGACCATCATGTTATTGCCAGGATACATTAACGCCCCATTTCCGACTCCATTTCCAAGTGGGGTCGTAGGTACGGCAACAGCTTGAACAAAAGTGTAATCACCGTTTGGAAGAATAGGTTGATGGGTCATGGTGTTTCAGAGTAAACAATAGAAATTTCGTTTGGTAGGAAAAAAAGTTGTATTAAAAAAAACTTTATTTTTGTTTCGTTCGTTCGTTCGTTCTTTTTTCTTTTTTTTTTTTTTCTTTCGTTTTCTCTTTAGGGAAAAAGTTACAACAACAGAAAATATTCAAAATGAAAAGGGAAAACAAGAAGCAATCAGTTATAGACAACAAAGAGTAGTATTGAGCTAATCCTCACTGAAGAGTTTAGGACAAGAAGTCGTAAAAAGAATTTTTTAAAAAATAAAGGTTATTTTGTTTTTCAGGGTCGCCTCTATTTATGCTTTTTTTTTCTGTATTTGTAATTATATGTGATTACGTATAGCCTGACGTCAGACTTGTATTATGATCACGGGACCAAGTGTTTAGTAAAACTGAGGAGGAAGAAAAAAAAAATACTAATCAACAGTAAAAAGAAATATGATGAAATGATTTGATTGGATAATAAATGGGCGAATAATGATTGATGAGATTTCTAAAAAAAAATTTTTTTTTTTTTGGAAGAGATAACGATAATTATTTTAAAGGACGAGGCCGTTAGTCGGAAATTCGGGGAGCAAGTGGGGGTTTGAGGGTATTTATACAGTTTTTGAAAATGACCAAGTCATAATTAATAATTTTAAAATAAATTTATAAATAAATTCACGGGATTAAGTTTATAGTAAGTATTCAACTCGCGATCACATTCCATAAAAAGTAGATTTATTGGTTCAACAAACTCGACACAGCCATGCGGAAATGTAGACAAACAAGACAGTATTAAAGAACACAAGATAAAATAAAAAAATATATATACTTCATATTGTTGTATATCATCATAAAAAATATTACATTACTTACATATATAAATATATATATATATACTTACCATGTATTGATTGACAATCATAAACTGCATATTTTATTTTTTTTTTTATTAATAAAAAAATTTTATCGGTTGTACTTGAAACAACATACAGATACATGTAATATATATATATATATACATAAAGAGAATTCTACTAGTCTCATTAAAGATTAGAATAAAGGCTTACTAGAATCTAAATACATAAATGGAGAGTAGTTGAAAGAAAAAAATTTTTTCCCTCAATTGTATAAATAAAATACTAATACGAAAAAAAGAACAAAAAAATTTTTGGGCTTTTTTTTTTATTGTTGTTCTCATTTGTCGTTGCTTTTTGATTTTATATATATGGAAATCTCGATACCCGTTTCATTCGCTGAATCAGATAGCAAATAGCTAACGTCCTGGTATAGACACAAAACTTGCTTATCATTTCAATTGCTGATGGACCCCTTATTATATGATAATATGATAATATTGATAATATGGTTGGGCTGGACTCCACACATAAATTATTAAATAATTGCTTGTGGGCGAAAAAAAAGGGCTGAGTGATTTGAAAAAAAAGTCGTAAAGGGCGGCTTTTAATCTCCAAAGGTGATAGTAGTTAGCAAAATGTAAAGGAAAAGATTTTTTTTAAAAGGTAAAAAAAAAATTTTAGCTTTGTACTGTTAAACCTTTCCCAAGTTTTTTTCATCGTTAGAAATTACTGCGGTCAAACTTTCGGAAGTTCGCCATAAGATATACTCCTTATGTTCCCGCAGCAGCCCTTATCTCGCGAATAGAAAAGTTGGTTTTTTGTCTAATATTCGTTTCTCGTTAACCGCAAAGTGTTGAGTAGTTTGAGAGATGAACGACCGGAAAATATTTGCAATGAACTTTACTCTCTTCCTCCTTACTTACTCAAAAGGATAAAAAAAAAAAAAAAAAGAACAAAGCAATAGAAAGGCAACAACACACACAAAAGCAACACAGAACAACACAACGGAGTAAAAAAGCAAATCATTTATTTGAACATGCCTTGTAATCGATTTTATAATTTGCTGCATGTAATTTAACTGTTTACAGCAAAGTGCACACACATTCGGTGTCATGTGGTTTATTTGTTATCTTTTTTTTTCCTTTTTACAAGATTATTTAATAAAATGAAAAAAAAAGAATTTAGGAATTCCAAAAAAGAGTTACAGAATCACCTATTTAATTGAATTTTAAAGAAAGGAATAATCTTCGGGGTACCCCGGCAATCTTATTCCGCGACCCAATGGTGTTCTTTATTTATTATGTGTCGTGCTAGTGTTTGTGTGTACATACGTTTCGTGTGCGTTTGTGATTGATTGATTGGTTTTCAAAATAAATCTGCAATGACAAATTCTTATTCACAACAATTCAACAATTAGAAACAACACCCCCTTGTCAGTCTTTTTGTTCTCGCTATACTCTTTTTGGAAATTCTTTTGATGATCATGTTATCATGCTGAATCTCCCCTAAATTGATCTAATAATTTTTTTTATTTGGTCTCTTATTCATAAATCTTCCCGTGTATTTCCCCTACTAAAAGTTATACGCCACGTTTTATGCTAAAAAGAGGATCTGCATTCTTGACCTGCAATTTAGGAGTGAAAGATGGCGTCTATCCAACTGCTTTTGGCATCATCAATCATCTTTATTGAAAATCTCTCCTTTTTTCCAAACAGATTTCTGTTGTGTTTCTTGTTTGAAAGAAAAAAAAAGATCATCAGCAATAAACATTTGGTCCGTTTCTTTCCGATTTAATACATGATTTTAATAATTGTTGATTACACAAAAAAAAAATTCAGAGAATCAAAAAAAAGTGTAGCTTTTTTTTTTCCATCATCAATATCATGTGACTGAAATATGAATCACATGCTACAATCTATTTACGCGTAACCATTTCATAAATTGTGGTTAAAAATAAAATTTTAGAAATTGGGTAGGTGATTTCGTAAAAAGTAAAAACATACAAGTTAAAAGAAATTTCTTTAAGAAAAAAAATGAAATAAAAAAAAATTACATCGATTATTTTTCTATTATTATTATTAATTTTTTTTATTTATTTATATAATTTTTTTTAAAAAAAAAATAGTCATAAATAAAAGGGACAAAGGTTGAATTATAGAATTATAGTAATTCTATGATTCTTTGACATAATTACCTATGCGATTGATAATTTCAATTAATATAAAGACGTGATTAAACAAACGATATCAATGAATGAAACAAATTTAAAATTTAAAACTCACCAGGAAATTCACCCACAACTCCATGAACTCTTCCAATCCACCAATCATTTGGTCCATCACCTTTCTCCAATACTTCAATAATATCTCCTTTCTTGAAACTTAAATCATTCTCTTCTTTTCCAATGAAATCAAACATTGCTGTGACATGACCAGATGCAACTGGTAAAACTGTGGGAGATCCAAATCGATTTGGTGATTGTTCGGATGCCATTTCACTCTTTGAAGTCGTCATATGTGCACCCTTCGGTTTAATATCTCCAGCTTCGGATTTAAGAAGAGTTTTTTGACGATACCAGTATGCGCAACTTCCCAATAAAAGTAGACCAATTATACTTCCAATAACTGACCCAGCGATTATTCCACCGGCTTTTTTCTTTTGTTTGGCCGAATCATTAGGATTTGAATTAGATTTTCCATTACCTTCATTCGATGAAGATGAACCACCAGCTGGTGGAACCGCTTTACCTCGTATTGGTTGCATAAAGTTTAATAAACTATTGTTGATGTCATCATAACTAACGTCAGATATTGACATTCCTCCGATTGAATTAGTCATTGCAAATTCTAACTTACTATGCAACGAAACAAAATCTTCATAAGATACATATAAATAAAAATTAAATTTAGTATCAACAACGCTATATAACCATGGAGTTGCGGAAATATCTGTTTCTACAAATTTACGTGTCCAATTAAGATTACTCTGAATATTCGTATTAATAGAACAAAATCCTCCTGATGGATTTAGAATGGAATTTGAAAGATCTCTCCATGGCCATGAATATAATTTAGAATCAGCTTCTTCAGGACAAAAATTTCTGATTGGTTGGGTTTGATCATCCAAACCTAGCTTCTTAACATCAAAAATAACAGATTTGGGAGTCAAAACAGTCTGCGTTTGTTCAATTTCTTTCCTAGATACCATTTGAATGGTATTCCCAAAATCTACACCCATAATTATTTTTTTGCTATCAATTCCATCAATATTATTCCAATCTTCATATGTTCTTTTGTATAGATCTAATGGAGAGTTTGGATATGATATATAATTGACATTGTCTGGTGTTTTTAAATTTTGGTATAAGCTATTATGATAAGTTTCTATGTTTAGAAAATTAATATTATTCATTACATCTTTTAAATTTACAATTACATCTCTACCAACTGTTAACATTAAAGTTTTAACACCACCTTCCATTTCATTCAATGCAATTCGAATGTTCTTTAAAAAATTAAAGAAATTTTCATCATTTCGTTTATCCCATATCAAACCATTAGGATTAGGAGGATTAGGACTTGGATTAGAATCTTTACATAAAAATCCTCTCATTCCAGGATATTCAATGTCTATACCATCTAAATGATACTCTTTAATAGTTGTAATTGATTCGTCAATAATTTTTTGATAATCGACATCATCATCTTGCGGCCATTGTTCAACGTTATAATTTCTTATTGAAAGAAGAATCTATATTATAATAATAATTATTAAATGGTATCCAAAATTTTAATAATCTAATACTAAATATGTTAATATAATGCTTACTTTAGCTGATTGTTTGACCTCTTCAAACAAATTATTTATGATTTTTAATTTGTTTTTATCTTTTGGACGGAAAATACTATACCAATCTCCTCCTTCGTCTTGTGGATATGCTAAGTTTCAAAAATCGTAAGTATTCCATGCGAAATATGCGAAAATTTAAGGAAAAACAAGCCTTTATATATATTCTTACCAATAACATTTATAAAATCATAATTACTCCATTGAACTTTTGGAATGGGACTTTCTGGTATTTTTGGTTGTAATGATTGTTGATTTATTCTAAAAAGTTGAACATACCCTATTGTTACTTGTATGTTCGTCTCCGCAATTGGTAAGGGTACTATACAAGTGTCATTCTTGTTGCCATTTCCATTCGATATAGTAGTTTCCTTTCCATCTTCCTGTGCTAACGTTATTAACGCTAGTGATAACAAACCATAAAGGAGAAAGACCGCAAACTTATTGAAAGGTGGTGTTAAGAAAGTATGTAGTTTAAACATATTATTATTATGCTTCCTTTTCTCCTTTTAAATAAACTTAAAACAATTTTATGATATATAAAATGAAACGTCAAAATGAACCAATAAAGCCGATAGGACGACAACCAGAAATATTATAAGTTAACTGGGGGAATGAACCGGAAAAATACAAAAGGTTCAAAACTAATATTATTAGGTAATTTTTCTCTTTTATTATCAAATTAAAAATAATCAAATTTTTTTTTTTATTGAAATTATATTTTTTTTTTCCCTTTGGTGACGAATGCCCCTTCCCGAACCAAAACTAAAAAAGAAAAAAAAAGTACTATATAGTACGAAGAAGAAAGTTTCAAATGAATAACAAAAATTAAAATTATTATGGACAACCCACCCTCATACATATACCACAACTTCTATGTTTGGCATTGTTAAACGGAGCTAGCCTTTTTTTTTTATTTGCCACATTTCCGCAGCGTTTAGAATAAAACTTCTTAATTTGGTTAAAACTTGAAATTTTAATTTCATTATTTCTTTATTTATTTACCATTAAAGTTCATAAGTTTGTTTCACATCTACAAAGTGATTGTATTTCATTCTAATTATATTCTTCTGAATATACAATTTTTTATTAATAGAAAATAAAATACTTTGAACGAATATTTGTTTTAATTACTACTTGTAATAGATAGAAGTCTAAAGTTTATTATTCGTTTAGGAAACAGTCTTATTCTGGACAATAGAGTCTGTTTGTCACACCAGAATCACGAGCCAAGAAAAAAAGCTGGATTTTAAACTAGCTTCAAAGACAAAATGGAGATACCGAGTTCAATGATTATTTCGTGTTGATTTTTAGTTAAATTTGTAAGTGTTATCTTCTTCCGTGTTGAGCAAATTTTACTTTATCAACATAACTTATGTGACTATTTAAAGATTACGAGCCAAAAGAATGGCCATACGCAAGGTTTTTTGTCCTCGCAATAACATTCTGATGGATCAAGAATGACAAATTCTTGACTCATTTACGGAGGCAAGCGTATGGAGGTAAATATGATTCATACTATATGTATCGCTACTTTGCTTGCCTGTCTATAATGTGAATTTAATGGTTGAAAATAAACAGGTCATTTGTGATGTATTTCATGTGTTGAAAGCTATTGTTCAAACACATATGACACTGATGAGGAAGATTATGAAGATTATGTTAAAGAGATGGCTGCCTACCAAAAAGATAGTGCTTCGAAAACATTTATTCTAGTGGAAGAAAAGATGAAAGTAAGGTGGAGATCAGGAACTTATTTCAAATATTAGCAGTTCATAACTGTATGTCTTTATATCATACAACGGTAATATCGTGTATTAAATTAATGATACTATTACTATTAATTTATTCCTTTAACTTGTTGTTATATATTTATTAACATCAATAATATTAAAAATTGATATAAATATCGATTTTCATAATTATTTTCAAGTTTTGTTATCACATAAATTTCATACCTTTAACTCTACATTAAATATCTTAAAAAACGTCTTTATATATTATATCTTGATTAATATTAGTTTAAATTTTATTTTATCCTATAAAAAGAATATTAATATAATATTAATCTTTGATTCTAAAATATTTAATATTGATATTTAATTAATCAAATTTTTAGTTTTAAACAAAATAATATAAATAAAAAAAAAAAAAAATTAAAAACTAAATAATTTTTTAAAGTTTAGATTATTATTTTCTTAAAATCCGATTTAAATTATAATTTTAATATTATTTAATAATATTATAATTTTATTATTCAATATTTATAAATTATAGATCATATAATTTATTATATCTTATGATTTGATTAAAGATGGGAACTGTAATTAATATGTTGCAACTTTTAATGTTGCAACTTATGTTGCAATTAGTTTTAACCT